GAGCACTAGTAATTATGGCTACAGGAGAGAAGAGGCCTTAATCATAGTCTCAGGGCTGGAAGAGCAGTGATCACACTTCTTAGATTATATCACCTTGGAAGCACCCAAAACCTACAGACCCCTAGAACTAGCTCTGAAAATAGTAGCAAAAAAAGGGCTGAAGCTTTGGCCAGTGCCTCTTCCACCCAGAAGCAGAGCTCAATGTTAAAATATGAAGTTAAAAGTAAGAAATAAGCTGGAAAACGAACATAAAACAAACAAAAAAACCTAGATCATAATCATAAAAAGTTACCCTGGTAACAAAGAAGATCATGACACAAACCCAGAAGAAAACCATGTCAAAATAGCTACAGGCAAACCCTTAAAGAAAAATGTAAATTAGATACAAGTCCAAAAAGAATTTCTGAAGACCTCAAAAAGGATTTTAAGACTCAAAAGAGGTAGAGGAAAAATTGGGAAAAGAAATGAGAGTGACGTGAGAAAATTATGAAAAGAGAATCTACAGCTTGGTAAAAGTGGCATAAAGCAATACTGAGGAAAATAGCATCTTAAAAAGCAGAAATAGCCAAATATAAAAAAGAGATATAAAAATTCATTGAAGAGAACTTTATTAGTAGTAGTGAAAAAGAATGAAAAAGTAAAAGTGAAGTAAAAAAGAGATACATAAACTCACTGAAGAACATAATCTTTTAAAAATTAGAATTGGGCAAGTGGAAGGTAATGACTCCACAAGACACCAGAAAACAATGAACAAAAGTCAAAAGAATGAAAAAATAATAGAAAATGTGAAATATCTCCTTGGAAAAGCAACTAACCTGGAAAATGGATTGAGGAGAGATAATTTAAGAATTATTAAACTACCTCAAAGCCATAATCAAAAAAAGAACCTAAACATCATATCTCAAGAAATTAATGAGGAGGGGCAGCTTAAGCACTGGCCCTGAAGTCAGGAGAGCCTGAGTTCAAATCCAGCCTCAGACCAAACACTTGACACTTACTAGCTGTGTGACCCTGGGCAAGTCACTTAACCCCAATTGCCTAAAAATTTTAAAAAAAAATCAAAAGAAAGAAATTAATGAGGAAAACTGCCCTGATGTCCTAAAACCAGAGTAAATTAAAAATAGAAAGAATCCACCAACACTTCCTGAAAGAGATCCCAAAATAAAAACTCCCAGGAATATCATAGCCAATTGTAGAGCTGCTAGGTCAAGGAGAAGATGTGGAAAGCAACCAGGAAAAAATAATTCAAATATTATGGACCTGAAATCAGGGTCACATAAGATTTACCAGCTTCCACAACAAAGGATGAGAGGCCTTGGAATATGATATTCCAGAAAGGATCTCAGATTACAACCAAAAATAACTTCTTCATCTTGAGTACAATCCATCAGGGGAAAATAGATATTTAATGAAATAAAAGACTTCAAAGTATTCCTGATGATAAGACCAAAAATGAATAGAAAATCTGACTTTCAAATATAAGACCCAAGAGAAACATAAAAAGGTGAACATAAAAGAAAAATCCTAATGATTTTTATGGTCAGATTGTTTTTCATTTTGTTTGCTCATTTTCTCACTGTTCCTCAATTTTGAACTTTAGGTTAAAATTGGGCTCTGTTCTTGACATGGGTAGACATGCTGTCTTAAGCTTCAAGCTTTTTCACATTGCTAATTTCAGCTAGTTCTGGGCAACTTCTGGAAAGCTTTCAGTGCTTCCAAGGTGGTGTGCTAGGGTGAACTGTGGTCATTGCTAGCCTGGTCTACACTCTAGTCCCTACCCAGGAAGGATCCCTGATCCCCTGGGATTGCAATGTATACTGCTCCTCATTTCCCATGATCCCTTGGGACCAGAACTGATACTGTTCCTCAGAGTCCCTCATCTATTTTGACCAAAAGCAATACTGCCCCTCAGGGTTTACACTTCCTCTTGATGGAAAGTGATCTTCTCCACTCCCGAACTGTGACTTAGAAGTGTGTATAGGCATTAACATAAAATTGTCACAGATCTTTCTGATCTCTTGGCTGGAAAAATGTCTCACTCTGACCTTTTACTATATCCAGAATTTGATTTGAAGTGTTATTTTAAAGTTGTTTGGAGGGCAGTTGCACCAAGTGCTTTCTCTGCTCTTCCCGTCTTGACTTAATTCCTCATAAAGACACAATTTAACAAATGCCATTTCACAAAATTATTAGAAGCTTCTGCCTATCTTGGTGATTTCAAAAGGCCTTCAAATAGAGGAAGGAGAGGCCAGAGTCAAGGAAGTAGAGGAAGAATATTGTTATTCTCTTTGTAACATTTTCACAATAAAGATTGAATTGAAGACTAATATAATTTATGAAAACTCTACTGTCTTTCAAGTATATGAAAGAGCCAAGTTTTATTCTAATTTGCCTGCATTGAGTAATCAGTTGGGAAATCGGAACTTCTCACATTGTGAACAGCCTGGGGCAAACTCTGGTGGAAACCTGAATCACCAGACTTCATTGTCCGGTCCTAATGTGTCAACCTAGAGGCCTTCAGAGTTGCATCTACAAAAGTGAAAGGGAGGCAGGCACATATGAAGGAATTCAAGATCCTGCTGAGGTGAAACAAGGCCGGCTCTCAGAATTTGTTGCTACCTCGCATAAAAGCAGTATGAAGAATAAATGACATTGCAATGACCTTTTTCAAACCTTGAAAGTTTGTTAAAGCAGGACATCCTTCAGAAGGTTTATGCCTAGTTTGATGGTCTATAAGAACATAAGAGGAATATACTGAAAATGAGAAGAAGGGATAGAACAAGTTTTCATAATTTGATTTCATGAGAGAAATATACAAACATGAACATATGGACATGGGGAATGGACATCAAATGAGCCTTACTCATTTGAGCAGATAAAGGAAGTTTGGATACACATGCTCACCCATACACCCAAAGTATTAGGTGTAGGAACATATCACACTCAAGAGAGAAATAGGCAGAGATAGATAGGCAGGGAGTGGAGTTATGAGGAAGGTATTCTGAGGGATTAGTTAGTCACAAGCACAATACTGATTCTAAAAGAGAGATTGAAAAGAGGGGTAGTGAATAAAGAAAAGCAAATAACAAGAATCTAAGGAGTACTTAGATTATTTCTTTAAAAAAACTGGGAAATGATTGAACAATTTATGGTACTGAAATATTGTTGCATTGTAAATGACAAAAGAGATGACTCTGGAGCTGAGCTAGGAAGGGAAGTATGAATTGACAAAGAGAAGTATGGAGAAGTTTCAGCTGACAATGTGAAGTGAGCAGAATCAGAATGATTTATTTAAGAAGAGAAAAAATACTTGTAAAGGAAAATAATTTTGAAAGACTTAAAAACTGATCAATGCAGCATTTCATGCTGTAATATATTACTGACAGAGATATGATGGACATGGAGAGCACACATTTTTGGATATGATTACTCTGCATTCATTTTGTTTAATCATTCTTATTTGCTCCAAGAAATCCCTTTCTTTTTTTCTATTTAAATTAAAGTATGATAGTTGTGGAAAAGAGGGGCTAGGCACAGTGAGCCCTCTTCCTAAAGAGGGTAATTGGACTTTTATTTAAAAGGAAGCAACATGATATAAAGTTTCATATAGAAACCCAGTTTCATATAGCCCTTAGGGGGAAATACAGCTGATCTTGCTTGAAGGAGAGTGAAACTAGGGACTTGATAAACTGGGTGGCTGATGCTGGATACGTCTTTCCACCAAAATTGTAGAGGTACCCCTAAGTGATCAGAGGCATGCTGGTATATTATCTGCGCTGTTATTTGCCAGTAGCAAGTTAGTTCCATTTAGCCAATTTATATTAATTAGATTTTATTATAAAGGGATATTTAAATTAAAACATATTGAAAAAGTACAAATTTCCCTCCCAATACCTAGGAGGTGCTCTTTGCCCTACAAGTCTCTGGAGAAATTGAGATCTCTTTTAATGCAGTTTCTGTATGGTATTGATCCCACTAAGTTCACATTCAAATGTGGCATTATTGCTAAATAAGCCCTTTTCTCGGTTACCCATAAATGGCAAAGCTAGATGAGTTGGCTGCGAACTCAGGCATGGACTCTACTCTCAGACCTCCTGGTGAATCTCTCTCTTAAACTTTTGAAACTTTATATAAAATCAAAAGAGCAAACACTGAGGCAGAGAACAAGGCCCATACCAGAGTTAGGGAACACCTCTAAGACTCTCTCCTTAGAATTTTTTCTCGCAGAAACTCTATCAAGCAGGAATATGTCACACCAAAGGAAGGGTGATATTCTAGTTGTCTTTACCTTTTAAACAAAAGGCTCTTCTTCACATGGCTCCCTTTCACATCACTAACAGCCCAGAACATACTCTTGCAGATGTTAAGGATCAAACCTCAAACACACAAAGCATGTGTGCACTACATTGTACCTTCTCACACAAATCAAAACATCACCCTGTGATGTCATTGGTCCTCTTCAAAAATGAATAACGAACAGTAACAATAGCCCAGAAATGACTATATAATGTCTTAGCTCACTTTTCAACAACTTTAACATTTTTTTTATCTTTAGATGAAAGGTCTTTAAACAGAAACAAATAAACACTTTCCTTAATTTTTCCCAACCTTTGATATATTTTGGTCCCTTTTCTACTTGATTTTGCCCAATTTATCACAGGATCATCTGATAAAAATACATAGTGATATTCCATTCTAAGAAGATAATTTTTATGTTGGTCACATCATTCTCAACTTAGTGATTGATTTATTATAATGATTGATAATTGGTTTTTACCATTAGGTAGCGTTATATCAAAATACTTCTGAATTCTATTAAAGGATTTTTTAAAAATTTCTGATTAAGGGATTTTATTAGTTTCTATTTTGCCTAAAATTTGGTGCATGGGATTGTGTTACATTTCAATGTACAGTTGATTTTCCTTAGACTTTTAAATATTTTAATGTACTTTACCAATTAATAGTAACCTTACAACCCTTTTTCTTTTTCCTCTGTCAAGTTCCACCCAATCTGACTGTTCCACAGGAAAAATCACCTTTAGTCACCAGAGAAGGGGATACAATAGAACTACAATGCCAAGTGACTGGAAAACCTAAGCCCATCATCCTTTGGACTAGAGCAGACAAAGAAGTTGCTATGCCAGATGGGTCAATGCAAATGGAAAGTTATGATGGAACACTGAGAATTGTGAACGTATCTAGGGAAATGTCAGGAATGTACAGATGTCAGACTAGTCAGTACAATGGATTTAATGTGACACCAAGGGAAGCATTGGTACAGCTCATTGTACAGTGTAAGTGAATTCATTTTTTGTGATTATCTCTTGGGGAAAATGGAAGAAAGAACTAACCCCTTAAGTAAATGAAAATTATTTTCTCTATTGGGTTAGCAATTTGGATTTCAATACAATTATTTCACTTGTAACTTACTCATTACAAACAATGTCATGTCTCCTTTTAATTATTTGTTTTCTACAGATCCCCCTGCTGTGGAACCAGCATTCCTGGAGATAAGGCAAGGACAGGATAGAAGTGTCACAATGAGTTGCAGAGTGTTGAGAGCCTATCCTATCCGAGTGTTGACCTATGAGTGGCGCTTGGGCAGCAAATTATTACGGATGGGTCAGTTTGATTCACAAGAATATACAGAGTACACACTGAAGGATCTATCAAATGAAAACTATGGGATTTACAACTGTAACATTATAAATGAAGCTGGAGCTGGGAGATGCAGCTATCTTGTTACAGGTAGGGATTCAAAGATATTTTAAGTGAACTAAAAAATAAAATACAAAATAGTACACAGGATATTTCATTCCATGACAACATGAGAATGAACGAATTTATGAAAATCCATTGAGCAAAATAGACTTTTTCTTTTGGCACAACTTTTAATTATTTACTTGTAAGATTAATCTTGTCCAGTAATTAACACACAAAAAAAATTAAATTTCCACAGGGCTTTTAAGTAGAGCTTAGTTATTTGAGTCTTTCAGTAATAAAGCAACAAATATTAATGATACTCATTTTATTTGGGCTAAAATAAAATTAATTTGAGAAAATGTTGTTATTTGAAGATAAATCTTTGAGTATGACCATCTTAGAATAGTAAGTAGATTTTTAAAAATCCTACAGATACTTAATTTATCATTGACCTTTGATGGCCTCACAAAGTTAAGATAAAATAATGAAGTTTCAGATCCTAACATTTCATTTTTTAAGTTTTACTGATATGTTTGTTTTTATATTACAAACATCCTTCTCTATGAGAGGTCTTCTGTAACAAAGTAAAACAATTAAATAAAACTAATAATACAATGAATGATTTCATCTGAAAGTTCATAAAACATTCTATATCAGTAAAAATTTACCACATCTACTATTTTTTAATTAATAATGCGGTTGATAGACTGCTGGGCCTGGAGTCAGGAGGACTTGAGTTCAAATCTGGCCTTATATACTAACTAGCTGTGTGAACCTGGGTAAGTTGATTAACCTCTGTTTGCCTCCCTTGCTTCATCTGTAAAATGGAGTAATAATAACACTTACTTCCTAGGGTTGTTATAAGGATCAAATGAGATAATAATTGTAAAGAGTTTAAGAGTGCATGGCAGAGACTGAACTAGGGAGGCAGAGCCAAGATGGCAGAGTGAAAGCAGTGACTTGCTTGAGCTCTTCCCCAAAGCCCTCCAAATACCTATAAAAAAATGGCTCTAAACAAATTCTAAAGAAGCAGAACCCACAAAAAGACAGAGTGAAGCAAATTTCCAGCCCAAGACAATCTGGATGATTGATCTGAAAGGTATATCGTGCCAGGTGGGTAAGGAGTGCAGTCCAGCATGAGCACGCAGAACACAGCGAACCTGGAGCAGGCCTCAGAGGGCTGAATCATGGGCAGCTTTGGTGGTTTCCAGACTTCTCAACCCAGGGCACCAAAGACAGCTTAGAAGGTTAGTGGGAAAAGTCTATTTCTGTGGTGTGAGAGAGGAGCTTGGTCTCAGAGGCATTTCCAGAGTGTAGAGCACAGAGTGCAGGCACCAGGGCAGTGGCTGCATCCTGAGCTTCCAGCCCACAGACTGAGGTGGAATCGAGTGGCTGATCAGAGGGGAATTGTAGGGATCTCTTTGCCAGTGCTGAGTCAGGAGTCTCTTGCTTTACCCATGTTTGTATCTGGATCACAGTTGTGAAGGGTGGTCCTAGGTCAAGGAAGAGCTCTGGTGTGGTGGAGATAGTAGTGGTTGTGGAGAGGAAACCTTCCTCACAGTTCCAGGACAGAAGGGAGTGCTTATGGTCGCTCAGACCAGAGCACAGGCCAGGAAAGGAGTAAACACCTCGCCCCTTATCATACCACCTTGGAAGAACTGAAAATTTACAGGTCCCTACAAGTATCTCAGAAAACAGCTGTACAAACCCCGAAGCTTAGGATGGTACATTCTCCACATTGGAAGCAGACTCTTACCTTAAAAAGAGTTTAAAACTCAAGTAATTGGCTGGGATCATGAGCAAGCAGCACATAAAGAGTCAGACTATATTATTTTACTTTGGTGACAAAGAAGATCAAATCATACAACCAGAAGAAGACAACAAAGTCAAAGCTCCTACATCCAAAGCCTCCAAGAAAAATATGAATCAGTCCCAGGCCTTGGAAGAGCTCAAAAGGGATTTTGAGAAGCAAGTAAGAGAAGTAGAGGAAAAACTGGGAAGAGAAATGAGAGTGATGCAAGAAAATCATGAAAAACAAGTCAACAGCTTGCTAAAGGAGACCCAAAAAAATACTGAAGAAAATAACACCTTAAAAAATAGCCTAACCCAAATGGCAAAAGAGGTCCAAAAAGCCAATGAGGAGAAGAATGCCCTAAAAAGAAAAATTGGCCAAATGGAAAAGGAAGTCCAAAAACTTACTGAAGAAAATACTTCCTTAAAAATTAGAATAGAGCAATTGGAAGATAGTGACTTTATGAGAAATCAAACATGTAAACAAATCCAAAAGAATGAAAAATAGAAACAATGTGAAATATCTCATTGGAAAAACAACTGACCTGGAAAATAGATCCAGGAGAGAGAATTTAAAAATTATTGGACTATCTGAAAGCCATGATCAAAAAAAGAGCCTAGACATCATCTTTCAAGAAATTATCAAGGAAAACTGCCCTGATATTTTAGAACCAGAGGGCAAAATAGAAATTGAAAGAATCCAGATCTCCTCCTGAAAGAGATCCCCAAAGGAAAACTCCTAGGAATATTGTAGCCAAATTCCAGAGTTCCCAGGTCAAGGAGAAAATATTACAAGCTGCCAGAAAGAAACAATTCAAGTGTTGTGGAAACACAATCAGGATAACACAAGATTTAGCAGCTTCTACATTAAGGGACTGGAGGGCATAGAATATAATATTCCAGAGGGCAAAGGAGATAGGATTACAACCAAGAATCACCTACCCAGCAAAACTGAGTATAATCCTTCAGGGGAAAAAATGGTCATTCAGTGAAATAGAGGACTTTCAAGCATTCTTGATGAAAAGACCAGAGCTGAATAGAAAATTTGACTTTCAAATACAAGACTCAAGTGCAACATGAAGAGGTAAACAGGAAAGAGAAATCCTAAGAGACTTATTAAGATTAAACTGTTTACATTCCTGCATGGAAAGATGATATTTATAACTCATGAGACCTTTGTCAGTATTAGGGTAGTGGGAGGGGGGAAAATTATATATATGTAGATAGAGATAGATAGACAGACAGACAGATAGAGGACACAGGGTGAGTTGAAGATAAGGGGTCATATCTGGAGAATAAAATTAAGGGATGAGAGAGATTATACTAGGAGAAGAAGAAAGGGAGAGGTAGAATGGGGTAAATTATCTCACAAAAAAACAAAAGAAAAGTCTCTTACAGTGGAGGGGAAACAGGGGAAGGTGAGAGGGAATGAGTGAATCTTATTCTCATAGGATTTGGCTTAAGGAGGAAATAACATACACATTCCATTGGGCATGGAAATCTATCTTACCCTACAGGAAAATAGGGGAGAAGGGACAAGAGAGCAGGGGATGATAGAGAGGGGGCAGATTGGGAAAGGGGGTAATCAGAAGCAAATACTTCTGAGGAGGGACAGGGTCAAAAGAAAGAATAGAATACATGGGGGGGCAGGATAGGATTAAGGGAAATAGAGTTAGTTTTTCACAACATGTCTACTATGGAAGTGTTTTGCATAACTGCACATGTGTAACCTATATTGAGTTGCTTACCTTTTCAATGAGGGTGGGTGGGGAGGGAGGAAAGGAGAAAATTTGGAACCCAAAGTTTTAAAAGCATGTTTAAAAAAAATGTTCTCACATGCAACTGGAATAAGAAATACAAGAAATGGGGTACAGAAGTCTATCCTGCCCTACAGGAAAATAGAAGGGGAAGGGGATAAGAGAAGGGGGGGAGAGATAGAAGAGAGGGCAGACTAGGGGAAGGGGTATTCAGAATGCATGCCATCTTGCGGTGGGGGGGAGGAGCGAGATGGGGTGAAAATTTGGAATTCAAAATCTCATGGAAGGGAATGTTGAAAAATAAATAAATTTATATTAAAAAAATTAATATGAAAAAAAGACTCAGCTATAATCCCATCTTATATAAGATGTCTTTCCTTGTCTTTCGTAATGCTAGTTGTTTGCATGTTTTTTCACCTGTTAGCTATGAACTATTTGAAAGTGATTGCCTTTCCTTGTGTCCACTGTACGTAGCACAGAGCCTGGCATATAATAGGCACTTAAGAAATGCTTGTTGACTTGACTTGAAATCAAAGGATTGGAGTTCAATCTCTATCACTTATTTTCCATATGACCATTGACAAATCATTTCGACTCTTTGGGCCTCAGTTGTAAAATAAAAAGTTTAGGTAAACTCTAGTGTCCCTTCCTGATTTATATAACTATGAGGTGGAAGTGGGAGAAAGCATGTACTTGTGTTACATCATAGCTTCATAGATTTAAAGCTACAAGAGACTTTAAAGGTCATCTCTTCCACCCCTTGACTTTATGGATCAGAAAACTAAGGCCAGTGCTGTGCTGGTAAATGTTTAACAACCAGCCATTGGGAGAAAGAGGAATGTATGTAACACACTTTTAAATTTAATTTGAATTATTAACATTTTCTCCATTACTTTTTTAAGTCTAGACATTAAACAAAACAATAAATCATGCCCTGTTCAATCAAAATTAACTACTGTCAGAGCAAGTAGTCAAATAGTAAATGGCAGAACCAGGATTCAAACCCAGGTCTTCTGATTCTCTTGATTTTAAGTCTAGTATTCATTGTACTAAACTTTCACGGCTCAATAAAGGTTGATTGCCTTGGTTTAATCTGACTGGCTGAGCTTGTGCTTCAAGTTGAAGAGGGAGAATTTCAGCCCCCTGCATTTATGGTGATAGTTAATCTCTCCTGGTCTCACTGTTGTAATAACTCTGTTCATGACCTATTAATGGCTCCAAAGTGCTTTGGGTTTAAGAACAAGGCCTGATTCAACTGCTGCTTGTGGCTGAGATGATCTGTACTTTTTTGTTTCATCTTGCTGTGGTGCAAGGCACCCAAATGAATGTATTAAATAATGCAAATAAAGTATTGAAAGGTGATCTCAAAAAAAAAAGAGTGCATGGCACATAGTGAACACTATATAAATGTTAGCTATTATTATTTTTTTTTCTTTCCCTCCTATCCACTCCATTAAAGAAAAAAAAATGAAACAAATTCATTGAAACAAATACGCA